TTCTATCCGTGTGACACTAGAAATGATACCGGATACAGCGAAATTCCACACTTATTGGACGTGCTTGTTCTCATGGCTAGGAACTTCACATCAGCAGTTCGACTATGAATGCCTAAACGTGTGCAAAATAGACGAGACATGATGTAGGTGGTAGTGGTGATGGTACAAGGACGGACGCCTACATGACTGTGAGAATCAATAAGCATTGGATGCCTTGGTGGGCTTGAGTCCAAGGCCACCGCGGGAGCTTGTGTTCATCAAATGACTTTCAGAGCTTTGGTCTTGATTGTTGAAGACGAAGAGTTGACTGGGTAGTTCGCCCTTCAATTTCGAGCACACCGATGGAGGACTCCTAGGGCTACGCTGCTGGTGTAATGCCCTTGGCTGTTGTCACCCCAAACCACAGTGGTGTTTGCGATGGAATGTGCATTTTCTAGAACTCGTAAACATGACTCTTCTTGTGCGCACTGTTCGAGTGCACACGCGTTTGGGGTAAGAGATGGCGTTATCATGACGTTTTCTCGGTGAAGATTTCACTCTTGACTGCCATGTTCGTCAGTGCCCCGTCAGTGCCCAATGCGATGAAGCATCTCTTCAAAACATGCAGCCCACACTGGCCTTGCTTCAGACCAAGCTCGAGCTATACACCAATGGACGCGTTACACGTGACCTCCAATACGAAAGGGTGTTGTTGAGTGAGCAGATGCCAACACTGTCGTCGGCACCTTCCGCTTGATCACCAATACTCCACGTCTTTTCGTGCGTATGAGTCCGTTTGAGATTGATATGGATACTGTACTCGTGATCAAGTTCGTCTCCACGAAGCCCAAAATCACTGTAAGCAAGCCGTATGTCTTGGCCGTGACTTTAAGCTTACGCCACTTCGCCCTAAACTGTTCACTCGCGTATCAAAGCGACCCTTTCGAAGCCTCTTTCGGGCAATGTCCCCCAGTCGCAAGTGTTAGTTTCTGTGGCGGTGTTGGAGTCTCGCTTTCGCAATGACTGTGCGCACTTGCGCTCTGGGCGTTAGAGCTTGTTTTCGATTATTAACTCAGCATATACCAGATTGCTTATGCTACTCGGCCGATATATGTGTCGCTTTACGTCACCAAGCGGCTCTCGTGGGGATATAGTGGTGTCGTGTGTGAGCTGCCGTGGGTAAGAATCGAAACACTATGACTAGTCAGATAACCTGTGTATGTTTGGTAAGCGAAACCACTGGCATATAACGTCATTTGAACGGAAACAAAAAGACTCGATAGTTCTGAGCTGTACTCAAAACGATGAGACAATCCAGAGGTATTTTGTGCTTAGCATCCAAGCTATAAATAACCAACGCATGCGTCTTGGGATGACTGGGCACAGGAACTTGACGACTTTCCCTATCATGTCGGCAAAAACTCGGTAGTTCAAATCGACATTAGTGGGACAAAAAAAGTCAAAAACATACAACAGCCCGGATTCGCTTCTGGTCACCCACGAAACTACTGACGGGCCGGTAACAAGCTTGAGTACCGCTGAGCAAACGGGAAGCGCTATTTACTTGTTCCTATGGTCGTATGTGGAAGAACTGGTCGGAAAATATCGATATATTGGCAGGTCGAATGCACATTTGCGAGCGCCTGCGTCAATCATGGCTTGCTTGACCTACTATGCTAGCCACCACCCAGGAACTTCCTCGAAGAATTGCGTGGCCGCTCGTTGGTGAAGGCTTCAAGTTTGACTGCGCACAAGATGACTTGCATCCTCTTTCCCTCGGCGTCGCCCTTAACAGGTTCGACACGGATGCGCCAGTGCGCGCGTCTGACTGTCCATTGTTCGTCTTCGGCATCTCCACCTCTCTCCTTAGTCCAGAACCACTTCCTTTTTTGACCTATGCTGCGAATGCCGATCATGCCGTATTCATCGTGCGCGAGCTCCGCCGGTGATCCGTCGATTTCTAGAGCGGTATCTTCATAGAGCCGTACACGGACGCGACGTTCGCTGACGCCTGAGTTGGCTGGGCTGACGGGTTGGGCGGCGACCCCAGCACCAGATTGCAGGTACATGAGTCCTAAGGGTTGTGTAGCGGGTAAGCCCATCTTAGAGGCTATGACGGAGAAGAGAGACGTTACTCGTGCAAGAGTTGAATCATGGAAAGTGGCACGAAATTCAACTCCGAATTCAGGACTCGAGTCAATCGCTATCTTCAATGGAATGAACAGCGTCGTGGCCTCCGTTGACGCAATTTCAACGACGAGGGTGTTGCTTTGCGCATGGTCGTCCGTATATGGTCGAGCGTACGACACATATCCCGCCTTCAAAACCGCACTGCTGCTTGCCGTTGATGGTGTGGGGCTTGCAACGTTGTTGACGAGTAGAGGGTTCGGTGGAACGCTTGTTGACTGCGCACCAGATACGGTTTCAGAACCCGACTCGCTTCCTGAACCCGACTCGCCGGGGTCTTTGTCTGGAGTGAAGGAGATACCCGACTGTCGAATGTCTTCAAGACGGATCAGGATCTCAGATTCTTGCCGTTTTAGGTTATAAGATATGTCACAGGGTATGAGCTTTTGCTCTAGGCCCTTGAGATGGAAGTATCGCGCATCCCTCAGTAGGCGAGAGCGATGCGCGTCGCTTCGGATCTCGACATTGTAGCCCTGCAGTAATTGTATCAGCTCGCGAAAGACCTCCCCGTCCCTGCTCGGCACCGAAGGAGGCTTGATAGACGGCGGTCGAAGCAGGGCATCGCGATCTAGTCCAGGGAACGCCTCGTTTGGCGTCGAGAAGAAATGCGCAAAGCCTAGCGAGAAATAATTCGGGCTGTCTCCGGGGGCAGAGAAGAGATCGCGTTGCATCTGGAAGGGTGTTCCTCCGATGCGCACGAAGATGTCGGTGCTGAACAGCTGTTTGGTGAGACGAGGCACTGCTAATATTAGCATCTATTCCTTTTGCTATACATGGCTGAGCTTACACGAGTAGAACTGCGCATCTGCATACAGCTTAACGAAATGTTCGCCATCTCTCGGTGTGATGTGGTAGCCCTGGAGGTGGAGCGCGATATCGCGAAACGTATCCGGGTCGCGGTCGATGTACAGCGTCCTCACGCCACCGGCGCGACCGCCATTGTCATGCAATTGCTGGCCGAAGAAATGCGAAAAGTGTGAGGGTGCTCTAATAGTCTTAGTTGCTGTTCCAATTTGATGTCTCCAGCGTATACTCACCATCTGACGAAATCGACGCTCCTGACAGTCTGAACAGCTCCGAACCAATCTGTATGGGAAACACCTTGCCGGCAGGAAGGATGTCGAGTGCGCCGGGGGACCCAGGCACTCTACGTGGCGTCGAGACATCAATGACCCTTCCCTGTGGCCCCGTACCTTTACTCTGCTCCTTCCGTCGCTCTGCATTTGTGTTCTCTCGTGACACTTGTCGGGGTGTGGCTTCGGAGGTGGCAGCGGTGCGCGTCATGGTCGGCGTTTGAGCGTCAGCCTGGGCTGTGACGGCTGGCGAAGCAGCTGAGGCGTCGGATGGTTGTCGCGACACGTTCTGGCGCTTCGGGGGGTTCTCCGCTGCGGCACTATCTTGCTGTGCGGCTGAAGGAGATTCGGTGTCGGCCTTCCTCTTCGTACCTGCTTGGACAGTCGGTCGTTGTTGCTGTTGTGCTGGGGCTGGTGGCAGCGGAGGCGACAGTTGGTTCTGGCTTTGCGCGACATTTGGCGCTGGAGTGCCGCTCTGGCTCTGTGAAAATGCCTGGTACGCCGCTTCGCCTGTCGCGACAGGAAGCGGGATGTTGAAGTGGTTTATGGCATGCGCCTGGCCTTGGTATTCTTGAACAAGTTCGCCCTGCGGCTCGTACTGGTCCGTGAAGTCGGTGAAGTCGAGCGCGTCCCAGCCTGTAGGCACAGAGGAGCCAAAGCCCAAGCCTGTGAATTGACCTGCCATCACTGGGTGCTGTGCCGCATTGTAGTCGTGATATCCCGCGACAAACTCATGGCTATGCGCCTGGCTCGCGGCCTCGGCTGTGTTTGTGTCGTGCTCGGCATGATAGGCACCGTAGAAGTGCTGCGGGTGCTGTTGCGGAGCTCCACCTGCTTGGTCATAGGTTTGAAATGCAAAATCGCGAGATGATGCGCCTGGGCGGTCGGACATTGGCTAGCTACACCGGAAATCCTTCGCATTAAGCGACGAAGAACCCAAATGCAGAAGCAAGTTGCGACTTGCACAGAAGGAGGAATGCTAGCCCTGCGTTGCTGATGAGAAGCTGACCAACAGCTCTGTCATGGGTAGCTTGCGGGTTCGTTACTCAATGCGGTTGGCTGCACCCGGGGAGGAACTCGAGAGAAGAACGTGGGGAATAGCGAAACCTCGTAGCAACGTCGCTGAGCTGCCGTAATGGCCCAGCCGCCCATATAAGCAGTCATTGGGAGCTACTGATGGTGCCCAGGTGAGGCTGAGAGTGCCCAGGGCTGACATTCTGTGAATGCAGGTGCAGGTGCAGGTGGAAGCTGGCAGTCGCGAAGCGACGCGGCGTCACCGACAGCAAGCGGGGCTGACGTGAGAAGCCCCCATCGCACCAACATCGCCCCGTTACGCTCACTGAGCGTCTCCAAACCTGCGTCCTCTAGAGAGACATATCGCTTAATGGTCTCCCGTTGCAAATGCCGTGACAGCAAGTCGGCTCCCGGATCCATTGTTCGATATCAGAACATCACTCTCAAGTTCGGTGAGTACCTCCCGGACCCACCAGGTCAAACGGATTGTTCTTGTCTCAAAGCCATGTATACCTCTAAAGTCGCACCAACATCGCCCCGTTGGGCCTACCGAGCGGTATGCAAACCTGGGCCTCAGATACCTGAGACACGTCCTGAATCCGCGCCGATGGTTCACAGAGTTCATGGACGACATTCACCCTGACATCAACACCGACGGAGACTACTTCACCCCCGGCGCCCCTTTACCTGAATTCCGCAATTCTCAAAGAGTATGCCAGATACATCGTGCGATCACGAGTCGGAACCATGTCGGTCAAGTTGAGCGTTCGTACGGTCCGCCACTATATGTACTTCATCCTCAGCGTCATCAAGTATGAGTGCCGGCATACCAAGTATGAGACAGCGTCCATCCAGGCTGACGTGCGAAACTTCGTCAACAATCAACTGGCGACTGATGAAAACCTCAGCACCCGAATGAAGACCAAGGCCGTCGCGCATTCGGACGACCTGACCTTCATCATCACAATGCTGTACCAGCCCAACTACCTGTCAACGTTTGAGAGCATGAGGCTAGTCCTAAACCTCACGCTGTACATGCTTCTCGTCGTCGACACATGTGACCGGGGGGTGAGTTCGCGCGCAATCCCGTACGACCTGAGCATATGTGTCTGCGATGGGAGGATGTAGAATTCTATTCTTTCCAGTGCCACGACGATGACGAGTTCGATATCTGAGCCCAGGTCAAGATCAGATGGGGAAAAGGCAAAACCCTCGACGACTCGGCCTACAAGACGGTACCATTTCCTGGCCTGCTGCCGACGTCCATGGCGCTTCAGGATACACTGCGTCTGCTGCTCACGCTGGCTATGATGGACGACGTCTTGATGGACGATATCCGAAGCTAGGACGATCTTCGGTCTCTACGACTCCCCGCTGAGGTTGCAAGCACAGGTCGAAGGCTGAAGATACGGCCAAGCATGCGTGAGGTTCCGGTACTGCGGAAAATGATCGACCATCGCCTCACCAAGATGCCGCAATGGACGACAGATATGCAGAGCGAGATCCGCTGACTGGGTCAATTTTGCGGGTTTGAGGAAACCTTAGTTGCGTACTGCATGCGGCGCGGTGTAGCGTACACATTGGCTACACGTGCATCTGAAGAGGACCGGGTATTCCTGATGGGGCACAGTCGTCAGGTAAGGATCGATTTACGCCAAACAATCTGCCAATGATGAACTTAAAGCTGACTACTGGCAGGTTTTCCCCAAATACAAGTCGCGCATATCGACCGTGGACTTTGCTGCCATGTATCGGAACATGCCGGAACGATCGGTTCTTGTGCAGACAGGAATCTCGCTGAACCGCAGTACAGAGGCACCAACTACGATATCGGACAAAGGACGGCTTCGCGTGCAGGAAGATGAACGAGTCAAGAACGCTCGGCAGACATCAGACGCTGTGCGGGCCACTCTCCGATCCAAGCACGGGAGCTTGACGGCAGCAGCAAGAGCAGGCGACCCACAATGGGAAGAATACCAAGCCGCCGAGGCAGAGCGAAAGGCGATGGTCGACCACGTCAGCATCAAGATCTTCAGGACCGAGTACAAGGAGCATTTTGAGTCACTAGGGTTCACCAAGGCAGCCCTGTTGCAGCTCGACGACGCCATCACAGAGGTAGCCACAACGCCAGACGGTGTCCAATCTGATGCAGACGTCTCCGATCTCCCACTCTTCGTAGCAGAAGACGAGGATATAGACGCTTACGACGCTTTACTGAACACACGCAACGCAGAAGTGACACCTTCGACAGAAGAGCAGGAAAAGTTGGAAGATCTTTTTGGTGATAGCACAGGGCTTGACATGGATATCACGGACAACATCCAGAGCGCAGAGGAGATAGACACTACCCTCGATGACTCCAGACAGATGGCGCTGCACGGTCAGTCGCTCGACAACCTCCGATCCCTCAAAAAATATGCTCAGTCCACCAAGGGCCACTCGGCCTACAATGATATGGTAGAGGACGTGAGTGCGTACGAAACAGAGGGACAGGTATGTGCTGTCTTAATGCAATGGTACAGCATTTGCCACCAAATCGATGCCTTTAACATCGGGGAGGAGCCGTTCTGTAGAACAGAGAGGAGTGTACAATGTATTGATGTTCTATGTAGAGGGAGGAACCCCTAGTATATATAGTAGAGGGGTAACGCTAGTAAGTGAATGTATAGTGAATAGGTGGATCACGTGTATGGATGCCTAACCAACACGTTCCCCGGGAGCTACGACTGCCGCTTTTGCGGTGAGGATCTCACCGAGCCACATCACCCACACGAACACACCTACGCTTGCGCAAAAGAAGCTGCCACCCAAGAAGCAACACGTATCCTCGACATGGCGTCGTCTCCAACTGTACCTTGCCAATTCCAATTAGCTCGGAAGGGGAAGTTCATACTGAGTGGAGCCGTGTTCACCTCACACGACGAGCGCGGCGAGCACATGAGAAGCCACATCCGTTACATGACCAAGAGGGATGACGACGGTGACAATCATATAACTTGTTACTTCGGCGGCTGTGCCGTGAATCCGCGGATTGGCCGCTTCGCTCGAGACGGTCCGCACTTCATCGATGAGCAAGACAGGACAGTCCACTTGTGGTCGGCCCACGGGATCACTGGCTCCAAGGCTCCAGTCGCAGAAATGTGTCGGATCTGTGACCAATGGCTAGTCAACCCCGCCGAGGCCATCTCTCATGCAGTCACGCATCTAGACACGGTGCAAACCATGATCATGATGCACGGATACTGTGGAGTAAAGATGGGACGCGATCTGATACCAAGATTGTGCCCTTTCTGTGCTCATAACGAGTCTCTTCCAGCCCACGAACGCATCGCGACATTCACCCGCGAGGGCCACCCAAAGCATATCCGCGGCCACCTCAAATCTGTTGGCGACTCGCTCGTCACCTGCCCATGCTTCCCGTTGACCTGTACAAAAGAGGAGGAAATGGACGATCTCCAACTCGAAGCTCATCTCCAGATCACACATGGATGTCTGATACCGGCCCGCATTAAGCGTCGTTCCGACGACGTCACCCCAGGAACGGCCGGGTCGCAGCGGGTAACTAAGAAGGCCAGCAAGGGTACGAAATGAGCTGTAGAACAACTCAGTGGAAGCAGAGGAGGTGTCAACGGAGGGTCATATCTCGTGGATATCATTTGTTGTGAGATTTAAGGCGATATTATCAGTTCTACCACATGTGCAATGCTTTCAATATCAGTCACATAGCTCGACACACAATCTATATCCATCATTTGTTTGTTATGTCTTCTCGTTGCATTATTGGAAAAGTTGCTCTATCTCATCAACTTGCTTCCCTGGTCGTCCTGGCACTCATAGACATATGTCGCGTCTCCCGGAAATAGCTTTTTGTCTTTTTTGTCTTCGCAATCGACGTTGTTGACGTTTTGATATCCTAGTAGATAGGTTGGCTCCAACTAGGTTTGTTTAGGTACTGTCTCCAGTCTTGCATGATGGCAGAGAGTTCTCGTGATCGACCCACGGGGTTACTGTCCCTAAAGCTCCAATCGTGGAAATATGTTGCAACTGTAACGAGTGGACTATAGGAATGGTAACGGTTCAAGCTGGATCTTGCTAGGCAGAGCGATTCGTCGATTGGTAGACGGAGTTAGATGCGGCGAGTGGCGTCAGGCTGTCACCTTATTCAAGGGAGAAACTAAAACCTCTAGAGCCTACATTAACATAGCAAGATGCAAAGTATGTATCCTAACGTTAACGTAGGGCCTACATTTATGTAGAAGAATATAAAGTATATGATTAAATGTTAACGTAGAGCCTACATTAACATAGAAAGATGTAGAGTACATAACCTAAACATTAACGTAGGCTTAAGAGTATCTAATCCTTCTCTTAAATAAAGTGCTGCTGTTTTGTTTATACAGCTATGATGTTGTAATAGTACGACTTGCTCCTAGACCTCAGATCCCCCATAGGGCATGAAGTCTTTGATGTTAAGAATATCATCAGCACTATCAAATGCCCGGTATTCAATGCCGTTCAATCTCACTTGTAATGCAATGCCTGGACATTATGAGTTGGGTCTATTGTGCAGTATGTTTCCTACTCGATCGTACTGTTACATAAAATCGCCGTCTAAGCGAAGCAAGATCTAACTTGAATGACTGCAAATAAACGCAAAACACATAGAAGAAATGTGATATCGAACAAACCCATGCCAGCCATTATGCAAGAAAAGACAGACTTTTTGTGTGACAAGTCCACCTCGAGACCCGCTGTCATGGCTGTCTTGGTATCATCTCCTCCGTCACTCTCTCCACATCGCACAAGACGAAAACTTAGTTAGTCTTAGCGATTTCTACTCCGCCTGTAGCACCTAGTGCCTTCTTGATATCACCTTCCGGGAGTTAGCTTTGGGTGCGACAGAAGGCGTTGAGAAAAAAACTTACCGTAGATGGCGAACTGACCAGCGGTCAGGGTACCGACCATGAAAAGACGGGCACCGATACCACCGAAAGATCCACGGAGGCCGAGCTCCTTGGCGATCTTGATCAAACGGGAGGTGGTTCCCTCTCCGGGAAGACCCTTGGTCTTGTTAATCCTGGAGAGCATGGTGTCGGCGGGCTGGGAGATGATGGCGGCGGCGAAACCGGCAATGATACCAGAGCCCAAGTTGTAGACGGTCTGCATGCCGTTGGAGGTTTGGCTCTTGTCGACGACGGAGTAGACGGCCTCGTTGACCTTCTCGAAGACGGCGAACTTGGCCATGGTGTAGGGAACCCTGATGGATGATTAGCCAAATCTCAACTTCCAATCAGAGGAATTGTACATACTGCTTGAACAGGATGGGTCCGAAACCAGAGTAGAAGGCACCGACACCCTCGTTCTTCAGGATCTTGGAGAATCCACCAACGAGACCGTTGGCGAAGGTTGGGTCACCGACGAGACGGATACGGGTAGCCTCGAGAGGGCAGAGGGCGACATCGGCGAAGAACTCAGCGACGGCGGCAGAGGCGAGGTAGACGGCAGTGCGGTTGTTGGCGGCAGTCTCGTAACCGACAAGGTTGATGGACTGCTGCTTGAAGAACTCGTAACCTCCGAACTTGAAGGCACCCTGGAGGAAGTAACCGGCAGCGGTGGGACCGAAGCCGGTCCAGACAGCGCCCATACCCTCATTGGCGATGGTCTTGCGGAAGCCGCCGATCAGACCGGTGTTGTAGGTGACGGGGTCAAGTTGTATCCTGGTCTTGACGCTGTTACACATGTTAGCTTGGCATTCTGTCGTCATTTTCGACATCTGTCAACTGTCGCAAAGCGTGTGCGATGCAGGCATTGGCATCGTCCCGAGCCATTGGGGGGCGGCACAACGTACACATCGACGGGTGTGAGGGCTCCGTGGGTGACGGAGCAGCAGACGGCACCGGCGAAAGCGAATCGCGAGTACAGGGCAAGGCCAGTGGGCGCGGTAGGGTCAGCGGCCGCAAGCTTAGCCTTTGCGGCATCGACCTTGCTGGAGCCGGTGGCGGTGGGGGGAGGAGAGGTGGCCATTTCTCTGGTATGGAACGTAGAAGCGAAGGAAGTGGAGTGGAGAGGTTTGGTGGTGGTGAAGATGGACAGGCGGAGATTAGAAAGCCGCGATAGTTGATGAGAAGTTTTGTGCTTGGCGCTGGACCCGTTCTTTCCCGACTGCAATCCGGATATCCGCCCTGCAGCACACCCTCCATTCACATCACCGCGCCTTAGTGCGTGCCACCGGTATCAATTAATCCCGCATCCGAATTCCGATGCGCAGATTGGTGCTATAGCAGTACTAAGTTTGCGCATTGTTCCTCATCGCTCAAGCCAGGCACCGCCGACGTTCAGTCTTATCAGACGCAAAAATTGACATACGTGAAGCGGCGTACTGAGATCGATCGGAATCAGAAACCTCAACAACCGGAACTAAGAGCGTTATCTCCGCCAGCATCGCCAACTTCCTTTCGTCCTCTCACTCCTCCTCTTGGATCTCGTTGTTGCTATTCGGACATTCCTCGCGATTGATCAGGCGTGTCAGTTCAGCCAGGTCGTCGCGTTTCGCCGTTACAGCTTCCGGCAACTCACGCATGGGTTGCCCTATCAGCCCAAGCTGCTCGAGCATCTGCTTCGCTGCTCGACGTGTGTCCGTCACGCCCTTTAGTGTCTCCTCGATTACCGTCGCCGTGACGGGGTCGTTGAGGCGCGCCGTCATTACCTTTTTCCTCTCATCCTTATCAAGACCCTTCAGATCAGCACCAGCGAGCTTCACCATTCGAAACAAAACCGTGTCATGAACTGTTTTCATGTCTTGCGCATTGTTTACAGTCACTTCCAGCTTGGTCTCCAGATGCGGAAAGTGCTCTGCGAACTCATGGTTAAGATTGTCATAGTCGTCTGCTTTGTCACATGCGTCAAATATCTCCTCCAGCGATGGAGTGTAGACGCCTGGATGAGGTTCTCTGGAGGCTCGTGGCTGTGCTGATCGAAGTACAGCAAGATCCAGCAGCTCGTCGATTCCGGCCTTTCTCAACTCGTTCCGCGCACACTGGATTTTGGCCATCAGTCCTTGTCGCGCTCTTTCTGCCAGCTTCCTGTTATAGGCTCTCCATTTGGTCTCGCATCGTTTTACTTCCTCCCTGTCATCATCTTCCTCTGCATTCTTTTTGTTCCTTTGATACGCACGTCTCTTCTTCTCACGGTCGAATCGGTGCTCCAGCTGCTCCTGTCCGCTCAACACCTTGAGAGCAAGGTATATGCCATCGTTCTTATTGGCAAGCTCAAACTCCTTCTGTCGGATATGCGCTAACATGATGATGAGCATGTTAAACGGATCCTGAGTCTTGAAACCTTTGGTTTCTGGCCGGTATGCGTGGATGGCTCTCAGTAATTGACGTTGAGAAGGTTCCAGGATACCATTTTGTCCAGTCTCGTTGTCCTGGTTGCTATTTCTGTTGTCACTGACAATCGCTAAAATCTTGTCGACAACCTTTACTCTTTCCCTGAGAGCAGCAACAAAGGCCTGGCGCTCGGTCGAGTCACTGTTACGCTTGTCGGCAATGCGCTTGTTCCAAGTGAGTATTACGTCTAACATGTGTTCTTCTGACTCTTCAGCTCCCAATAGTAGTGGCTCTGAACGTAACGGAGCAAGTAAGTCGTCGAATACCCGGTCACTTGATCCGTCTGCGTTCCTGATTCGCTCCAGGACTGAGGTATCCATGCCTGGCCCATCAGCTCTGAACGCCGCAGCCACTCCCCGGTACTGTTCTCCGTCCGCCACTTCTTCATCGATATCAAGATGCGGCAGGTTTGACGCATGTTCTTCCCGACATAGGTCGTCGAGTTGGGCTATGATGTCCTCGAGATCGACGTCCGACACCTCGTATTCATCATCGTGTCGAGTCGACGAGGGCCCTGTTCTGCCCCTTTCGAAAGTAAAGCGCTCATCGAGATACTCCTGTTCGCAGTCATCGGCGGTGTTTGGATTGGCCTGACGCAACCGTTCGCGCATCCGCGCTAGGGCCTCCGACCCACGTAAACTCCTCGCACTGATTTGTGGTACATCAGTACCATACATTAAAGCATCGTAAGCTGACTGACGTTCTAACATTTTATTGGGGATAACTGGTGCAGGTTCTGCTCGCACAAGACTATGCTTGTGGACTACGTATAAATACTCCAGTCGTCACTGCCTTCACAATCAATGCTACACCAGGAGCGTGGGATGCGAAATTCATACCCGCGCGGTGATGTCTACGCATCAAAATGATCACAGCACGAGTTCTTCCTGCTCATTATACCTATGCTAATCACATGGCTGAGGTTCGTCGAATGAGCCAATCCACGCCAGTGTGATTTTCGACACAACCATGGATCGCGCATGTCTACACTGGATCGCATGTCACGTCCACGGTTCACCATATTCATCAGAGTATATAAGCAGAGGCTGCCGTGACCTTTTTGAAATCCCACGCTCGACTCTTCACAAAACTCTTTCATACACAAGTCTTTCACAAAAATCACAAGGCCCTTCAAAAGCACTCTTCACACAACGCTTTTCATCCTCCACCACCCGAAACCATCCAAGGTTCTGGTTATGATGCTCTCACAGCTCGTTCACGCGCATCTCAATACCATCAAGCCAAAATCTCAAGAGCCAAAACACGCCCAAGAGTACGAGCTCGACGCCATGCCATCTGAGCCGCATTCCTCGCCGTCTCCGTTCCCGTCGGCCCATCCTTCGAGGGCTTCTTCACGAAACTCATCACGAACTTCGTCACGGACTTCATCGCGTACATCGTCTTCGAACGCTTCAATGTATTCAGTATCCACCTATTCAACTATGTCGACTACGTCCCTCGATACCGCGTCATCTGACGCGCCAACATCAGAGTCGCCAATTTCAGGCTTCTCTTCACGCGCAAACAGCCCAGAGATCGACATGACGGAATGGGAAGACATCGATCTCACAGACCGCATCACCTTGGGACGTGCTTCACACTCCAAGCTGTTGTTGAGGGTGATTCAGTATCTGCGATCGCGTACTAAGCCGACTATGCCCGCGACGCCGGTGCTGCGACCCGCGCGTGATGAGAAGGCTATGATGGACATTCCGGATTGGCATTTGGAGGGATAGGACTGGTCTGTCTGCCGTTAGACCTAGACTTGGCCGACTCAACGAGATGGAGGCGCAGTCAGATACACCGCCAACGGTAATTGTGTTTGGATTGTATCAGCACTTCGACAGGACTAGATACCCTAGACCACAAATCCTTCTCGCTTAGGAGAGAACTCGTTCTTATGCAACAATGAAGATTCACTATCCCTTCGCCTTGGTTCTTTGAACGCGAATATGAGGCAAAAGTGACATTTATACTAAGCTAAAAATGGCGGACCTGCCGCTTCTGGGTGATTCAATCTCAGTATTAGCACCTAACATTTGTAGGACTTCTATCATGCCTTCTTCCCCTGCAGCGTCGTACATCGTGATTAACCAGCGCCATGTAAACCGCTCAGTCCTCCAGATCAAAGAGCCAAAAATCCCTGATCTCGGCCTCCACATTCTCAGACCCTTCAACGTCTCGACTATCCTCCCCTATCGTAGCAAACAACTCCTTGTTCGCCTGCTTCAACGCCTCAAACTCTTCTGGAGGCACCCACCCGTCAAGCCCCACGTTTAGCATACTTGCGAGGAACTTCTTGGCCTTGTAATCCCTTTCAAACTCTTTGAAGCTTTCAAAATGTACGGCGTACTCTTCCGGGCTGGGTAGAGGATAAGGACAGTCTCCTTCGAAACCTAGCTCCTTCCATCGTCGTGCTGTCTGTATCAATTCTATTCGAAAGGCAGCAGCGCCGTGTATCCAGGTGCGATGGCCATACATAAAAAGCCGAAAGTAGGCCTCGTCCATTTCTAGAGGCGCTAACATTGCGGGTGGAAGGAGAGAGCGAACCAGAAAAGTGAAGGCTTTGGCGCGCCTCTCGCTCTCGGGCTAGAATTTGTCTTCATCGGAAGGATCGGGGATTTTGCGGGCAAAATCTGGTGTTTCGTGCATGTACCAGAATGCTGGCTTGATGCTCGATGATTGCCAGTCGATTATCGCTGTAAGCATAGTCGGGTCTTCCTCCGAAACGAAGATATTTCTCATGTTCAAGTCGGGGTGAAATAGGGTGGTCTGTGCCATCAGGCTCATGGAAGGATCCTGAATCATCTTCTGTATCACTGCGCGACAGTATTCCAACAAGGCTTTGTGGTCTTCAACGGACCCATGATAGTGTGGTCGCTTCGAGCCAACCGCATCTGGCGGAAGTCTCGAAAATCCTGCGTCGATTAGACCGTCGCAATAGGCGGATTGATCGGGCCCTATATATCTCATGAGTCTTTTGGCAACTTGCTTGCATGAACCGCAACTTACAAGGTCCTTGGTTTCGGTTGACAGCGTGGTAGTACCTCGGCTCTGTGGGCTCACAATCCCAATACATGGTTTCGCAATTAGGACCGATACAGAAATGTGGATCCAGAGGTATCGCAGAGTCTTTGATATGTGAAGTGTTGGTTAGGTAGAGACTGCCATATGCGGGGAATTCAAGATTGGCAGCCTCTTTCAGTTTTTGGTAAATGGGTTTCATGACCATGGCTCGCTGAACCTCTGTCATGTCTGGCCATTTCAAAGCCAAGCAAACGCCTGGTGCGTGTTCCATGATGATGTGTTCGCTTCCAATAGTGTTGGAAGCGTCATCGCTCCAGTCCAGTATTTTGGGAATAGGGATACTGGTTTTGGTTTGCACTAATTGCATGGAAGGTCAGCCAATCTCATTGTCATGCTTCTTCTTCTTTTGCTATCTGTTGTGAAGGAACGTACGATACTGTATAGTCGCGACCTCTGAACCCGTTGTATACCTCGGCGGGCCTGCCTGAGAAAATGGCAGTCTTGCAACGAGGCATTTCGCATTATCAGTGTGGAATATGAAGACGCGATTGTTTCCGCCTTCTTTCTTCTCATATGAGGTGATTGATTGGGCACCTGGACATAGTGCTACAACTCTACGACACAGAGCGTTGAAGTCGAATTGTATAAAGCGAAACTTTCGCTCGAGTTCGTCATGACGGAGCCATCGTCCACTCGTATAATTGTAAGGGTCAGGGCCTGCGTTCAAATAAGCATCGGCGCCTTGGAACGAATGTCGAACATGCGGATACCGCCTACCTTCACTGAGGGTGTGCATTGTTCTTGTAGGACTGAGCAATTTAGTGTAAATGGGAAATGGTCGCCGCGATACAAGGCAAATCTCCGTATGGAAAGGCGACTTAGGCAGATGTAGAGGCCTTGCAGTGCGTAGTACAAACGTGCGACGCGCTCGAGCACTGGACATTGCACGCGAGGGTACTTGACTGATGATATGCTTAGTAGCGTGGTGGGGAAAGCTTGGGTCATTGAGCATTCGTGCCAATGCTTTGTGATTCATCGTTGATGGCGCGCCACGCTGTACATGTTGGTGTAACGGTGCCCACTCACGGAGAGTGCTCTCTTGTGGGCGGTGCACCTAGCCTAGGAAGGAGCAGGCAGCAGCCCCGGAGTGGTCCCAGCGAATCACTGTTACGAGCGCGCTTGGCGCCAGTCAAATCATCAGTCCTCGTTGGCATGATACAACAAAGAAAAACCGTGAGCGCCAGATGATATAATCTAGTATTCTTGCTATTGGCCGTGGTAGTAGAATTCGAAGATTTCGGCCATATTGACTACCACTAAGGTCAACAACGATATGGTTACGTGCCGCACTTTGAGATATGAAACGAAGAGATGATACACAGTAAGTGCTCTTAATATTGGTATTGGGGATCTGTCAGCTACATGCTTTGACGCAAGCCAGCCCAAAGGATCCGACGGTTCATCATCCGTCACTGAAAGTTTTACCCCAGCCCTTGGGGATATAATGCAAATAATGTGTCACAAGTTCTGTCCTCTTCACTTGACATCCCTCCGTTTAACGCCAACGCTGATAATGCAAATAAGGTAGAGCCTAAGCTCTTAGACCCGGACCAGGTACAGCAGGCGCCGCCTTGTTGACCTCAGGCTTAGTATCCTTTTCTGTGTTCTTGAGACGCGCCAGGATGACTGTGAGCGTCTTCTTCTCTCTTCCGTCGTTATCTAGCACATGAATCAAATCACGGAGCTGGATACCGGCGCCTGTTTCGGTCTGCTCAATGGTGTCGCCGAACTTGCGCTTCTTGCCCATGAGAGCCTTTTCAGGAGCTTGGACCGCAGGTGTAGCGGCGCCACTGCCACCTGTTGCTGCAGCCGGTCGTGGTGTAGATGCACCTGACGCTGGTCCTCCGCCACCGCCCGTCATCCACGAGTATTTCTTCTTCTTGCCACCAAGCGCCATGCTGGCGGTCTCGTTGGCTTTGCCAAATACGACAACGTCCGACTGACTCTGCTTCTTGGCGAATGCCAAAGCCTTCTTTGTCACAGGTTCCGGCATGGGTATTGGTGCAGCTGGCGCATCTGCTGAGGAAGCTGAGGCGCCTGCTTGACGCTTCGCGCGCTTGCGGAGGCGCTCCTGCTCCCACTTGTAGTCGTCATTGACGCGCTTCGTAAGTGCAATGGCAACGTGGTTGACGTTTTGGTATGTTCGCTGAGGGGTTGGGGGTGCTTCGCTTGGAGGCGTTGGTAATCGTCCCGCATTGGGGACACCTAAGACGATTAGCAATAAACTGGAAAATATTCAAAACAAACATACCCTTGCTGGCTGTCGCTGTAGGGCTGACAGCACTGTCAGTCGCCTCCCACGGCGTCTTCAAGATGTTGACTGGCGGAGCCATCTTCTCTGATGCGCCCTCATCCACCACAGCGAGATCAAGCATCTGTGGGGGAATGATGCCATGAGAAGTATTTTGACGACCTTGGCACAAAGCAAAAGAATCCTCAACTATGGTCCGGACACGCTCCTCGGCAGCCAGCGATATCAGCGTCAGAATCTCCACAAGTGGAGCGTTCTGGTTCAGTAGACTAGCAGCCTCCAAGCCTACGATTTGTTCGCCGTTGGCACCTGCTGCAGTGGTACGTGCGATCTCTTGCTGGCCTTTGTCTGGGATCTTGTCGAATAAGCCATCTACATTGATCTGGATACCGTGCTCATAGCCACGTTTCGCGATGCGATGTCTTAGGACACTTGCTGACAGGAACGGGTCGTTCAGCGGCTGCTGGGCCGACTCGTTCAGGATCCTGGCGGCTTGCTCGTGCTTTCTGATGAACTCGGCTTCATGCTGCTCCTTGGTCATTTCTTGACTAAGAGCGCCGGTCCCTTGGAATGCGCCATGGCCCGACTGCTGGCTCCAGTTATTGAAACTAGCATGTGGTGATGCTGTGGAGCCAGATGCTTGCGAGTTGAAGCTCCTGTAGTTGTGCAGCAGGTTGTCCTCCTCGGCGCGCAGATCGATACCAGATCCTGTGAGCACATCGCTAATGTTATTGACGTCCAGATCGCGCGCATTCGCCTTCTCTAATTCCGAACTATCGCCAGTCTTGCTATAAGGGACCTTGGGTGGCGGCATAGAGCCCTGGGGCGCTGGCGGCTGTCCATTCGGGTGCTGATACGGCTGAGGCTGGTGGAAGGGCGGAGGCTGCATCGCGGCGGGCGAGGTGGGCAGTGAGTGGTAGCCAGGCGTCTGAGGGGAAGCGGTATACGGCGAGGGAGGGTATTGGGGCGCGCCAGGCATGCCAAAAGGTGACTGGTACGGCGCAGGCGATGGCGGGTTTGGCGACAGGCGCTGTCGCTTATTCGGAGGAATGCCGCTGCCCATGGTCGGGGACAGGGCGGTCGGCGACTGCTGGTAATTCTGCGGTGAGAAAGCGCGCGGCTGCTGCTGGTGGCCCAGATTCTGCGTTTGCACGGGCGGCGGGGGCTGCTGGCCCGGCGGCGGATAATGGTAGTTGTTCGGGTAGGCCATGGTGGGCAGCTCGTCCCTTTCGGGGAGTCGCGCTGGCAGAGGGTTTCTATCGGCGCGTCATCCGGCGGCAGTATGTTCGGGGCTCGATAGCGCTTGCGATGGGACGTGTTCGGCGGGCAGGCGCGGTGGGTGGAGTTGGCAGGCGCGTCGGGGTTGGTGATGTCGCGGTTGATAGAGCGGACGATGAATCTGGGAATGACGAGCACGGACAAAGTCTTGGCAGTCGCGCGCCAGACAAAGAGAGCCGCAACGGTCAACCAACTGCCACTTCGCTCTCACTCGACGCTGCCACAACCTCTCTCTCACCCTTGGGCGTTTCCATTGAGGCGTTGAATATCCCTGCGACACTAATTCACGATTAATGAGCTAGGTCCAGGCGCGGTTTATAGATATCTTACGCGTTCTTCTTCGGCTACCACCTGGGCATCCACCAACCCCGTAGCCTCACCTCCGTCGCCCGTATACCACCTAGTAACACATCCACATCTCAACCCACACAACAATGGCGTCGAAGAGAAAGGCGACGGCTATGGCGCCCGAGGATGAAGACCCAATAGATCCCTCCGACGAGCTCATGTTCCTCTGCTTAGGAGGCGGTAACGAGGTCGGCCGCTCGTGTCACATCATCCAGTACAAGGGCAAGACCGTCATGGTGCGCATTCAGGACTCGCATACTCTACGGCAACCATACTAACGAGGAACAGCTTGATGCCGGTATGCATCCCGCACACGAAGGCTTGTCCGCCATGCCATTCTACGATGATTTCGATCTTAGCACCGTAGACGTGCTACTAATTTCACAGTATGTATACGCGCGTCTTGCTTGCCATGGTAGTTGGGGTTCGGCGCATCACTGGAGTCGGACCATGAGCGCGCAAAGGGCACTCGCAATACAGCGACTTGTATATCACTATGAATGGAATATAATTTGCTTCCTCCCGCTCGACTTCGATGATGTGCCCCTCCCTGGTTCCCACCAATGTATCTACAACTTTGGGCGCTTCTTCTGGGCTCACCCTGAGTCCTCCCGTCGTCCTCCAGTATGCTGACATCAGGCTAGTTTCCACGTCGACCATGCTGCATCTCTACCCTATGTACTTGCGAAGACCAACTTCAAGGGCCGCGTATTCATGACACATCCGACCAAGGCCATCTACAAATGGCTCATCCAAGACTCTGTCCGTGTCGGTAATATGTCTAGCAATTCCGAGACCAAGATCCAAATGTACACCGAGGCGGACCATCTCAACACGTATCCTATGATTGAGTCAATCGACTTTTACACCACCCACACCGTATCCGGTGTACGGATAACACCATACCCAGCTGGTCACGTACTTGGAGCGGCCATGTTTCTTATGGAGATTGCAGGCCTAAAGATACTCTTCACCGGCGACTACTCGAGAGAAGACGACCGACATTTGGTATCAGCGTCCGTACCTCCGGGCGTGAAGATCGACGTCCTCATCACCGAGTCAACATTCGGTATCTCGATGCATACGCCACGTGTCGAGCGAGAGGCACAGCTCATGAAGGCTATTACCGACGTGCTCAACCGCGGAGGTCGTGCTCTACTTCCAGTCTTCGCTCTGGGACGAGCCCAGGAACTTCTCCTCATTCTCGACGAATATTGGAGCAAGCATCCAGAAGTTCAGAAGATACCCATATACTACAACTCAAGCTTAGCTCGTAAGTGTATGCAGGTCTACCAAACGTATGTCTCCGCCATGAACGACAATATCAAACGTCTCTTCGCCGAGCGCATGGCCGAAGCCGAAGCTGCAGGAGATACTGGCCGTCGTGGAGCTTGGGATTTCAAGTTTGTCCGTTCACTCAAGAGTCTGGAGCGTTTCGACGATCTAGGTGGATGCGTCATGCTTGCCTCGCCGGGTATGATGCAATCCGGCACATCGCGCGAGCTGCTTGAGCGATGGGCGCCCGACCCAAGGAATGGTGTCATCATCACCGGTTACTCTGTCGAAGGCACCATGGCAAAACAAATCGTTCACGAACCGGACCAGATCCCAGCAATCATGTCCCGCGCTAGTAACGCAGCACGCCGGCCAGGTCAGAGGGAGAATGAGCAAGCCATGATTCCCCGACGGTGCACAGTCCAGGAGTACAGTTTCGCGGCGCACGTTGATGGAAAAGAGAACATGGAGTTTGTGCAAGAAGTCGCCGCTCCTGTGGTTGTAAGTCCTGCTCATTCCACATTCACGGTGAAAACCACGTACTAACTAAATCTCAGATTCTTGTTCACGGCGAAAAGGGTAATATGACACGCCTGAAGTCTAAACTACTTTCCTTCAACGCCCAGAAAGCCGTCCCCACGAAGATTTACTCGCCCGCCAACTGCGAGGAACTCCGCATTCCTTTCAAGACCGACAAGATTGCCAAGGTGGTTGGAAAACTGGCCTCTATTGCTCCGCCTTTACCTCGTTCCATGTCATCCAATGATGAAGGTGAGACTGCTGAAGACCAAGAAGGGGAGAAGGTGGATATGATCAGCGGAGTTCTCATCCAGAACGACTTCAAGATCTCTCTCATGGCGCCCGAGGATCTCAAGGAATATGCTGGCCTGACTACAACCACCATTATGTGCCGTCAGCACCTTACTCTATCAGCTGCTGGCATTGATCTCATCCGATGGGCTCTTGAAGGAACCTTTGGCGCTATCAAAGAGAGCAGTCTCACAGATGCTGCCGTTGACGGCAAAATGAATGGTAACGGTACAAGTCACAAGGAAGAAGCAGACGAAGAAGTCAGCCGAACAGAAACCAAGTTCACAGTAATGGACTGCGTAAACGTCCTAATCAAGAACGGAGGAAGAGTAGAAGTAGAATGGGAAGGCAACGTAATCAACGACGGTATCGCCGACGCCGTCCTCGCCGTCCTTTTCACAGTCGAATCATCACCAGCGGCTGTTCGACGTAAGTTCCATCCCCTTCCCCTACCCTTCCCAACCTCAATCAACCCTCATACTAACCCACCCTCTAGAATCCTCAAAACAGCACTCCCACAGCCATGCCCCGCAACCAGAAGCCGACGAAATAACCACCACAAAACTAACCCACCGCTTCAAAAAGCCACACCCCCACCGCACAACCGACCCCTCCACCCGCCTAGCCCGCCTCTTCCTCTTCCTCGAAGCCCAATTCGGCGAAGAAGCCGTCCGCCCCATCACCCTGCCCCGCAACAGCACCACAACCGCCACCACAAACGGGACTCCCGCCGCCACCGCCGCCGTTCACCCAGATTCCATGGATACCTCTACCCCCGACTCCACCACGGAGCCTGTCTCCAACATCACCGCGTTTCCGCCTCCCATCGCGCCAGACGACCAGTTATCGGCGGAGGACAAGACGGAGTTGAAGCGACTGCATAATCTGGGTATACCTGTTCCGGGGGTGGAGATCAAGTTTGACAAGTTTGTGGCCAAGGTCTGGTTGGAGGATTTGGAGGTCGAGTGTGCGAATAATGCGCTGAGGGCGAGGGTTAAGGCTGTGGTTGAGAGGGGTGTAGAGACTGTTAGTGGGTTGTGGCGTTGACGGTGAGGACAGGACAGGACAGGACATGAGCTTCATGGAGCGGGAAGGATAGGAAGAATGGTGGCTGAGTGGGAGGGGAATTTCGAATTTGTTGTTTCTGGGCCTAAGCCTGCTCTTTTCTTGACATCATCTTCATGCATTTCTTTCCAAGAGGTAGTGTGCGTTATGTAGAGGAATTCATTCAAAGCAGAATATTGCAATCTTCACTCTGACACTCATATTTTCATCTTTACGTCTATCGGAAAAAACACCGATTGAAACAATGATAGAGATTTTGCTATTTCAAACGTTTGAAGAGGGGTATGCTTATATAACATCATCAATCGCCTTGGACCATATCGTCAGGGAAAAAGAATGGCCCACAAAACAAGATAAAAGAGGACGCGCGCGCAGAAGAGACAGTCGCAATCATGGTCCTCGTCTACCCATACATCGTGCCATATCCCGGTAGTAAAATGTCCAAAAGTATGTTTGCTCTCCCGCAGATTAACAACTTTTTCGAAAAAACAGTCGTGCGTAGTTTGCTCGGTATTATCAAGATGCGATTGCCCTGTTTATCTGAAGCGAGCAGTGCAGCGGCCCATGACCTCGCCCTGGCAGACGAGCTCGGCGTTGAATTCGGATCCGTCGAGCGTGAGGTAAATGTCAAAGTAGACGCGGTAGAAAGTACCTTGAGGGGTATCCATGCGTTCGAAGTCCTTTTCGAGGTTCTTCCGTGAGAGGTCGGAAGTGAGGGTGACGACTTCCTTGATGCCTGATTCGCTGTTAGTACATGCGTTTCGTTCAGGTATCTTTTTCACTTACGAGGGTCTTTGGTGTACTCTGGGCAAACATCGTCGTCGCATGCGTAGAGTATATCCTCGTACATGAGTGTCGCACCAGGCGCGACCTGTCTGAAGAATGAGACCTTGACTGGCTCGCCAATCTTGACCCTTTGGCCCTTTTGCACAAAAATCTGGCGCGTGTACTTGCAGCGATCTTTGCCATCGAGAGACGGAACACGGTATTGTTCGGGATGGTGGCCCTCTTTGAAGGGTTGGAGGGTGGCCATGAGGTAATGCCTACGCGCAACACGGTGTGTGACGATTCGCTCTGTGATACCGGCTGTGACGGCTCCCTTGACGATAGCGGCAACGGAGTCCATGGGACGGACGACCTTTGACTGAAATTGGGGCGGGACGTGGAGTTTGATCTGTTGGAAGAGATATTCGGAGGCACCGAAACCACCGACCACCAAGACGTTCTACTATAATCAGCACTGGAAGTGACGTGTTTCGATATCTGTGACTGCTTACCTGCAATGACCTGTTCTGTGCCTGAATAGCAATAATCTGGTTCCTGACAAGCTCGAGAATGCGGTTAACCACAGGCTCAAAGCACTGTAGAATCTCCTCATTGGTGAAGGTCATGTACCCCTCCTCAATACCAGCTTCAGGGAATTCCGCCTCGATACCGACGTCGACAGCCCACTTCTGACCATTGTTTCGGAAGTCGGCTTTTATCCTGTTCTCGAAGTCCATGATGCATTTGGCGTACACTTTACCGGCTGTCTTTGAGCCATCTGGGAGTTTCATCTTCCTAATCTTGGCTCGGAGGATGTTGCTGAAATTGCGGTTGAGAGCAGTGGAACCGCATGAGTCTCCGGATCCAGCTGTGCACTCGGCGACGGAGAAGGGCTGCTCTTCTTCGACTTCGTAGGCGATCAAATCGACAGTGCCACCACCGCAATCGACAATGAGAACGGCGTCGTGTATCTTGAGGTTGAGCAGACCGGTCTTTGAGCAGAACATGGCGGCGGCTTCGGGTTCGGTGATGAGGGTCAGTCTGTTGTCGTTTTCGTCCCGCAAGAAACCAGCCTGAATGGCAGCCGCACGCGTTGCAGCCTTTCCAGCGTCGTTCCAGATGGCGGGTACTGTCAGGTAGTATCTGATGTTGCGCTCCTCGCGGTTGAACACCTCACCGAGTGTCTTCTGCAGCTGGTTCCGCATCGCCTGGCGCAGGTGGAAGAGGTAGTCGGCGGCGACATCGATCTCAGACTTGCCCGGGGGTAGCGGCGGGAGGTTGATGGGGTCGATGTATGTGTTTCCGGACAGCATGAGCTGCAGCTTGAACCATTCGACCTTTTGCACACCAGGCTTGGGGTAGCCCGTGGGGGCCAGAGCATCGGCGATGTCAGGGCCCCATCCGACTACCTTCTGGTACTGGTCGTAGTAGAGGACGGTGGGGATCTGCAATGGGTTAGCGGGTGCGTGTGGAGGTGTCGGTCTAGCGCACCTTCTGCTTTGTCTGGTTGCCCGCGCCAGGCCATTCGGTGATGATGTCCTCCTTGGCCTCGGTGTTGGTCGCAAAGGCGAATGCGACGCCGGAGAAGGTGGTGCCCTGTGTGGCATGGTTAGCTGCTGCTGCGTCCGGGGGTGTCTGAGGCTACTCACAAAGTCGATGCCCACAATGAGCTGGGCCTTGGAGCGGCCTTCACCCGCTACCTCTGCCATGCCCGAGGGCCTATTGTACGTTGCGGGGGGACCATGAGGGGCAGGCGCTCCCGGCGGAGGAGCGCCGTAGCCCTGGCCGTACTGTCCAGCTCCCGGCGGGCCCTGGGGAGGATAGCCAGGCGGGCCAGCCTGCGGCGGGTAGCCCATGGGGGTCTGCTGGGGCGGGTAGCCAGGCGCGCCCGTGTTGATGGGCGGCAGAGGGCTCGCGGGCCGGCCGTGCTGTTGTTGGGGCGCACCGAGGCCGCCGGGCGGGGCATAGGTATACGAGGGCGGGCGGCCCAGGGGGTTTTGCTGGTTCATGGGGAGCGAGGTGCTGCTCGAATTCGAAGCCTGGGGCGATAGCGACGTCGGTCGTTGCGCTCCCGTGGGGGCGGGATTGCCTTGGGGCGTGGGCGAGGGATTGTGTGAGGAACTCTTGCGTTTCGAACCCACTAGGTTCTTGAAACGGGCGTTCATGGAACTCATGAGAGAGGAGGGAGGAGGGCTGGTCAGGCGGGAGGGGTGCGGTGCAGGATATCTGGGAGCGGTGCTGCGGCTGACAGCAAGCTGGGCGCGGTCCAAACGGCGCAAGCTGCAAGGCTGTGTGATGGAAAGCCCGCCAACGCGGTGCGGCGCAGTCCCGGAATTGGCTGGGGCAGCTGGAGGATAGGCAAAGTATCCTCGAGCTTGACACGGCAGATGCAGCGCGCGCACACCCAACAGTTCAAGTCCCCGGCCACGGCGCTTGCTGGCGAAATTGACGCGGCGGGGTGAATTGTACACAAAGAGCGGGTCACGCTCCGCCGGTCAGCATCCTGGGCATCCTACGCCACATACTAAGGCCATCGTCCACGACCAGCCACGTCGAGCCGCTGTCAAACACGCCTGTTCAGTCCAGTTCCCAGCGGTACCCCAGCGACATGCAACGACTATTCCCGGCCGAACACCACGTGCTGAGCAGGGCCGACTCTCAAGAGGACAAGATAGTTTCCTCAAGCACTCTGGCGGCCTGACCAATCCATCAACGATGCATCCGTCTTACAAGCCCGAGCTGGGTGGGTCCGCTGCACACTGCTCACCTCAGCACTCTAGATGCCTGAGGTTGCACGTCGCGGATGCCTTGCCCTATGCGAGCAATGGGTTGGAATTGCAAAGGTACAAGCTTGACGTCTCTGTGCGGTTTGCAGGTTCGTCCTATCTTCGCGTTTCTTTGTTCCGATGCCATGCTACGGACCCACTAAACTCTCCACACCAGGGTCCGTAAGGCTGGTGTCTAAACTTGGAACCGGCCCTGTTCGGTCACGGTATGCTAGCGTCGAATTGTGCAGCGCGTTAATCAGTGCATCTTGATTTGCATGCGTATGTTTGAGACTCGATCAAAATTTCCAATGGCAATGTCTTGATGCTATGCGAAATATGTGCTAGAATGCTTTCAAGATGCGACCATCCAATGTATCCAATGTAGCCGATGTGTCCAACGCGCCCAACGTAACCAGTGTATCCAACGTAAACGCCAACAAGTATCCCACCACCCTATCCAAAAGTCGCGTAGAATGCTCGTGTGTGTATCATATCTGCCCAATCTCACCTCAGCATCCCATCATCCCACCAGCCCACTCCCAAACGCCAGCCAAGCCAGCACCCCCGACACAACCAACAACATTATCGCAACCACAAACATCGCAACAATATTCTCAACCGAGTACCTCACATCATCCGGCCTCACCACATCCACACCAATCTGACTCTCCTCGTCTTCCTCGCGACCCCCGTGCTGGCCGCGCGGTACGTACTGTACAAGCGTGTCGCGATACGACTGTCGGACTGCGATTGCGTATGGAGGTGGTGCGTCGGCCGGGTAGAAAGCGTCACCGGGTTGGTGAGATATTTCCGTCGACTGCGTGTACGCGTGGGAGATGAGGTGGGCGAGAGGGACGTCGTCGGCGTCTGGGGTGTGAGGTGGTGAGTCTGTGTATGGTTGGTACGGTGGACTGCGTCGTGACTGCCGTTGGTGGGTCGGTGAAGTGGATTGACGCGTCGAGGGTGCTGTTTCTGTTGGTGTTGGAGGGTCGTCGCGGTAGGGCTCTTCGTCTGCGTAGGGAGGAGGCGTTGCGGACAGCGGTTTTATGGTCGCGGATGAGTCTGAGGAGCTAGGTGATGTTTGGTGGGTAGACGATGCTCTCCGGTCTCGTGCCGGAGAGTTGCGGTATGGTGTAGTAGTAGTGTTCTGCGCAATGGTTAGCTGACGTGACTCCAGATGGGAAGACAAGCTGATGTATACCTCCATGATGAGCTTCCAAAGCCAGGTACGATGCCGTCTCTCTCAAATAAACCTCCAACACTGCCAAAAGAGCGTCCAATTCCCTCAAGCACTGCCAAAGAAGCTGCTGTAAGCTATGTCACCAAGATGCTGTTGAGCGCGATCAGTAGAGGCTGCGGCACGTTACACAGCACAGGAGGTTAGCAGTCGCGTAGTCACAGGCACATATCAAGCTGGAGAGCACAAGGCAGCTGCGACAGGCGTCCAAGGCCTTCCGCAGCAGCGGCGCAGTAGTCCATAGCTGCCCCCATCGGATGGCTGGGGGGTAGCTGTCGGCCATGGATCCGCCCACTCGGAGACATCCATGCGCTGTGACGATTGTGGCTATAGCGGGGACTTGGAGGTTTAGCGCTGAGGCGCCATTCCTGGCTACGCCGCTGCCGGGCCGGCAAGGCAGACATTACGACATCGGCATGCCGTTGGATTTTATCGAGTATCGCGGACGAATACTGACCAACGTCCTCACATCGAAGGAGTCTTCTGCAGAGCAGATTCTGTCGAGTTCTCGCATTTCTCAACAAGGCTTGCAGCCAATATCAGTGCTTCCCAAGTTCCGAAGAGGAAGGACCATCGCACCGCCACAGTTCCGAAACTCTGACCCGCGACGCGACATTGCCTGACATTTCAGGAACGCGTTTCAGGATGAAAATAGGAAGCGTTCGAGATTGCAAGCGCACGCATGGTGAACAGTTCCACCTGAATATGACAAATGTCGCGACGGCCTGCACAGTCGGCAAGGGGGACGCGAGCCAGCTGCAGTGCACCTTGAAGCTTCAGCGTGCACGCGCTGTGTACATCACCAAAAACATCGACGCAAATACACCAAAGACATAGTAAGCATTCTTTCATTAAACTGACCTCTGCTCTAGTTATACGTCCAATCTTACTTCCCAAAATCTCCGAACGCAATGTTTCCCTTAATACCTCTGCGTCTCCGCACTGTTCATAGCAGTAAACGTTCAGATCCTCTGTCGATCTACCCACGGTATTCTTCCTCACCGCCAAAACTTCATACCAAAATTTAAAGTCATTGACTCGTCAAAGGGTTGCGTATCTCTGGATTCAGTCTCCTATTTACTTCCCTGAAGTTTTTCTGGTGGCATTCTTCCTACCTCATCCTACAGTCCCCTTCTCACGTGTGGTTCACGTTAAATTGACTGGATGCGAACATAAGATCGATTGCAGACAGACACGACTTACTGTGCCCTTCTAGTCCTACTTCGACCACGTTGCGGAAGTTCGTCATTGGATTCGCTCTCACTCGGGCAGTCATCGTTCTCGGTCCCGGCGCCATCTTGAGGGGAGGTCTGGTTGGCGACCCTCAACACCCTTCCGCTACTCGATTCATTCCTGGAGGAGTTCTCCGGTGAGGTGTCGTTGGTAAGCGAAGGAACGCCGGTGAAATCTCCGTCGAAGTCTGCGAAGTGCGATTGATCGATCGATCCGCTGTGGTTGTCTGCATCTGGTTCTTCGTAGAGTCCTTCGTAGAAAGCCATGTCGTCATCAGCAAGGTTACCCTCTGAAGTCTCGTCGCTGTCTTGTGTGTAATACCAGTCGGTCGGAGCGCTCGCCGGGACAGAGCCTTCTGATGATAGCGATACTGCTGCATTACGCACTCTCAGTGGCCCCTGACGTACATAGTACGGGAAAGACGAATTATTTTCTTCATCTCCTTCGTCGTCAGCGTCTGCGGAGCTGTTATCATCGACGTGGCGCGTATTGGTAGCCCACCAGCGCTCAACCCCAAGGTCTCCGGAACTACCGTTCGACACCAAGGACGAGGGAAATCGGGATTCAGCAGGATCTGCGTCTTCAAACGACCCCTCATCGGGGGAGAACCGTCGAACAGCCGGTACTGCCTCTGCTGCATCGTCTGAAACATCATCTGATCCATCATCGCGAACACATTTCCGCTCATTCCCACAATCCCCAAGCTCACCATCCTCGGACGAGTAAAGCGAAAAACGAGATTTCGCCGGAACAGCCTCTTCGACTGACCATTCATCCAGGAAGAAACGCCGAGCTGCTCGGAATGCTTCTGATATACCATCAGAAACATCATCTGTTCTATCGACGTGATATTCCGGGTAGTCTGGCCATGACGATGATGATGAAAATGAGGCGTCGTCTGGAATATCAATATCAGTCCGGTAGCATAGTGATGCTGAGGCTGCGAGCTGCGCGCGGAAGTTCGTGTCCTTGGCTGTGTAGGATCCGTAATTTGATGATAGCGACTGTGAAGAAGAATCTATAGTAGTGCGATTCGTGACACGCAGACGCGGACGGGATCCAGCGTCTACCATATCGGCGTACGAACGATACTGCGGGCTACCTACCTGAGGGAGCTCGTAGCATTCAACATGAGAGTATGTCGTACCTTTGACGTTCACACCGTCCCATTGCTGTGAATACGTGTTGGCAAAGTACGGGGGTACTGAATGTGAATGGCGTCCAGGTCTCCCGTATCCGCCGTCTTGTAAGTAATACGCATCTGCCTCACCACCAGGGTGATAACAAAGCATATCATCTTGCTGATCCCGCGACTGCGGCCGAGGACGATTCCGATAACGAACCGCGTTGGAACGTTGGAGACATACCGCAGCCGGAGGAGGCGGCCGCGGCATATTTAGCTTTTCAGCCCCAGGCCATTTGGCGAGTACAGAAAAAGGCTCTTCGTCGCTGATAGAATCACCAATCGATGATGGCGAAGGCGAAGGCGACCTAGAACGCAGCCTAACAACGTCCACAGCACTCCTGATAAGATTGGAGACACTGGAGACGACTTCCTTGACCTGGGGTACACAAGCCTGCCGATTATCTTTCTTCTCCCCAGTCATCCCACTCGCCTCAGGCTCCATAACCATACTCTCCATCAAGCGTCGCGGTTGCTCAGCTTGCTCAGCAGATATCTTCGGAGCCGTCATATCCAAGCTCAGCCTTTCCCGGAACCTGGAGGAGCCGGCAGGACGGTTAGTATACCGGGGTGGTGCTGAGGAAGGGTAGACACGTACGAATTGGTTTTTTTGTTGGGTTGAGGGGAGTTTGGCGGCGGCGGCGGAGGTGGAGGGGCTGGCATGTTGGGGGTGAGAGGTGTGTGTGTGGTTGCGCGTGTCCGTGAACGTTGTCGTCGCCATGCCGGTGGCTTTTGGGATTGAGGAGGGTGTGGTGGTGGTGGGGGTTTCGTTTGGTCGTTTGGTGCGTATTCTCATGCATGTTAGGATCTGAGTCGCGCCGAAAGTCATGTTGGTAGATGTGTATGTGTGATAGACTTCGAGATTATCGTTGAGTATGTGATGGAACCGTAAGTCGCTTATCGTTGGCTCAGTGTCTTTCCAATATGTCTTAGCTTAACAGTTCACTAAGCTTCAGACTTTCACGGTGGTGTTTGCTGCAGGGGGACTATTCGGGAATAGTTCAGATCACTGTTTTATACAGGGCATTGCTTCTAGCGATGTCTGCGAACATCTCCGATTTACTCTTAGTGCAAGAACGCGGATGGCCAAGATGAGTCATGCCACGCTGCCATTGTGAGTATAGAGCGAGTGGATATCTGATGTTGGGCGGTTCGATTCGGTCAGAGTGGTCGGTTTCATAGCAATAGGAATCATGGTGCGAAGTAAAGACACAGCATATCGATTCTAGTGAAAGTCAAATGTGCAGTTGGTGGCTGTAATCGTGTCGTTATATTGATCATCTTCTACTGAAGTCTGTCTGTCGTTTCGTAATCCTCCTAAAATGTGAGTCTTGACCCCGCTACGAATTGACAGGCAACCCATTGTATATCTTTCTGCCGCGACATGGTGATCGCATAGCTGAGATACGAAAGGACATCCAGTTCATGCTCGTGAAGTGATGTTCAGAACATAAACAGAGTCGTGGCCAACTTAGGAATGTTCCAAGACTCGGGTATATTGCGCGAAAAGATCAATACCTCCAATGACGTGTCCGAACCCGTCATGTAGGATGGTTGGGGTATCATGGACTTCGTGACTGGAAGCTTACGCGGTGAGGTTTTCAAGGTTATCAGCCTTACTGAGTCGCCTGACGCCCTCCGCTTTCCTGTCTTCCGCAAGAAGTGACGCAAATTTACTAGCCTTTCTGATCTGGGGTCCCTTCCAGTAGAAGACGTAGATTGGTGCCACAACTAAACAGGATAGACATGCCAGAAGAGTAGTGGCATACTCGGACTTCTGGGGGCTTGATGATGCAAGGTTGTTGTACATGGGTGTGGCATACATGGCGGAGATACCAGCGAGGAAATCACGAGCGAACGCGTTTCCTCCGGTGGCCGAAGCCGAGTATGGTCCGTAGGCGGCGATCATGTAATCGACGGAGGAGTAGTAGATGGCGAAATTTGCCAGTCCGACGAGGAAGGAGAAGATCATCGGTGCGATCCAATGCGTTTGCGGTGGTCCCATACCTGTGTCACCATTAGCTGAAGTTCAATTGATGGTGTTCAGAAATCAACTTACAAGTCCAGGCAAATCCGAACAGCCCGATAGGCTCGAACAGCGCAAGCAGAAGAAGCGGCTTCAATCGTCGCTCTGGTGTCATCCAGTCGGGTCCGTTCTTCTTGCGCAGGTGATCATCGCGCCAGAACCAGGGCCAGTACAAGAAGTAGGTGAAGAAGTAAGCGGCGTTGATAGGAATGAAAGCCCAAGCGACTTGAAGTGTGCCGAAACCGAAGTTGTTCGGGAATGTGACGTTGAAAGCTTCTAGGAATGTGAAGATCAGAGCATCGGAGAAACCAGAGAGTAGCGACAGGCATAAGACGATAGGTTCCCGAATGAACATCTCAAACGGACGGAGCCAGATCTTCCCGGCTTCCTTGAGCGAAATTCGTGGCGATTTAAGCTCATTCGGTCCGTAGATGTTGGGATCTTCGCCGGTCTTGCGACGTCTTTTGGCCTCGCGATCGATGAGAATGGTAGCTCGGCTCTCAGGCATGAAGAAGTGTACCGCTTGCACAGCAACACCGAAGATCAACTGAATCCAAAAGTTCCATTGCCAGGAAAGGTATTTTTCGATAGGGCCGCCAATGACACCACCGATAGAGGTTCCGATCGTAGACGACAAGACGATAAAGCACAGCGGCCAGTGCTGTGTCTCTGGTTCGTACATATCCGCGATAAGACCAAGAGTCACACTGCCTCCTGCTGTGGAGAGACCACCCTAATACTCATCAGCATTTGAAGTACCAAGTACGGAGGAGACTTACAAGAGCTCTGCAGACTATAATGGTGGCGAAGTTCGGTGCAACAGAGCATGGAATTTCCCAGATGTTGATAAGGAACATGCTGAGCTGCAGAATCGGCCATCTACCAAACTCTTCACTCCATGGCGCCCATAGCTCGCAGCCAAAGGAATAGAAGACCAAATAGATCATCTGTCCAACGCGCGCTGCCTGTGCGCTGATTCCGAAGTGTTCGGAGATGGGGTTGACGGCGCTAGGATAGACCGACGTGTTGAAGTTCATGGAGATTTGGATTCCAGCGATGGAAGCCAGGTACATGGCCTTCTTCCACTTGGGCCATGAGTATGCGAGCTTATCCCAGCACTCCCATTCTCTCAGCTCGCGCTTCCCGTCTGCACGGATCATCGAAGGATGGTGGTTTCCCTGAGGGTCGACAGGGACATCGACATGCCACTTCTCCTCCTCGCTAGTCTCGGCTGGGATGCTTGGGCGTCGCGAGGTATCATCCTTCTCAGAAATTGGGCCTGACCCAGCGCGGGCGGGCGAAGGGTGTCTGGACTCGCGTTCCGTCATCGTAAGGTGGGCTGGACGAAGAAGCTGGAGATGAGAGTCGGGGTGCGGGTTGGGGTATTAAGGCCCTCTTGAACCCAACAAAAGTCCACATTTGGCATCCACCTCCAGAATGACGTCTGAGGAGAAAGCCCGTTGCGAAGAACGACTCTCCACTCAGAGAGGGGTTTGTCACAATGGGATCCATTGTTGCGAACCCATTTCGTACAAAATCGGCCTAAAATTTGACGTTGAGATCGGGGTGATAGATGCCATCGACGACATCGACAACCTGGGCGATGAAGTGTGTCTCGGGGTGGGCCTAGCCTGGCCATGTCGGGGTGCTCTTTGGCGGTTATGTCTTGTGGACCCAACTATGTGACGGTAAGCTTCGTCCATGCAGCGAAAAACTAGTCGTTATGTGCTTAATCCACTTCTTGCCGACGTGCGCTCACCTCCCGACAGGCCAAACGTCCGTAGATCTGCATGCGGCTCAAGCAAAGAATGGGCCAAGTGGGTCGAAACCCCACAAGTTCTCAAGCAGCTAAGGCGGTCACCCGATAATGCTTGACTTATTTGGCTTCCTTGTGTCCGTTACAAATACAGGTACGCTCGTAAGAGAATTGCCTCGCTCTAATCGCGTTGCGACGTTGACGAAATCTTTCAGACTGTCGCGTCTGAGTGGGTCAGTGGCACCTCAGGCAGGCAGCAAGAAAGAGTCTTTATCGGCTCCAGTTGCGGCATGTAAGAATGCGGTCTGGCAATTGATCATCATGCCGTAGTCGTCCGATTGGGGTATAGATGGGAAGAGGCTCTGCGGGCGACGGATGCAGGTGCAGGGTGAAAACTCTTAGCTCGACCATATGACATCATGGCGCATGAACGCGAGATCCGCCGCGGCAGCAACACCAGAGCCAATCCTCACGATGCTTTCAGGTCGGTCTCGACCGGGCGTCGCACATACTCCTTAGAGTAACCTACCCGGGCTCTTTTGTGCACGGTGTTGTGAGTCGTGTTGCACGTTTTCCCCACCCGCATATCTCCACTGCTTGACCTGTGTGCATCCACTGTTCTACGCACGTGTTCCCCGCTGACGTTGATTGGTAAGAGGTGCATGCTAGCCATCTTGGGCGTCTTCGAGTCTCGTCGTAGAAGTTAGAAAACTTGAACACGCAAGGTATAGTTGTTTCTCAAGTGATAGACAGAGCCTGAAGATAACAAGGCCAATGAGCGCATGCTCATTCACCGAAAAGTCCGAACAAAGTTTATACGAGCAATCAATATTCGTCTCTATTATTTTCTACCAATTTCTCAAAGCAAAAAGCGCCAATGACCGCAGACCCAAGAGTGAAAAACCAGCTCTAGATCAATTGCAAGCCATGCATATAAACGTGGTATCACATAAACTAAAATAATGCCATTCTTGCATACAACCTCCAGCCGTCCATCTTCACAACGATAGATGAACCCCCCGTAATCACACCAGAAAAAGAAGCTTCGAATTATCCACCTTACAAGGCAGCGAAAGCAGCAATGACAGCAGCCGCCGCAGCGCCGATGAAGGTCTGGGCGCTGAAACCAGCGGCCGCAGTGTTGGCAGTCTGCTGGGCAGGAGCACCGCTGGCAGTACCGCTAGCATCACCACCTGCAGCACCAC